CTCTCCCTTAATCAATTTAAATCTAAGTTGAAGAACTATGATTTTGACAGTGGTCTTATATAAATGTTATTTTGTTTTTATACACGGCTTCCTTGTAAAGCAGGTTTTTATCATTTCTCTTATTCTAGTAGTTATTTACAATATTAAATTAGTTAGGTAGTTAGATTTATTTAAATTAAATATTGTATAGTCCTGAAGGAAATACCGTGTCTAAATAAAGATTTTACCTTTACCTTTACCTTACAACTGGACTCACCTTTGGTTCAAAATGTGTTCAAAAAATTATTTTTCTTTTCTTTTCTCCCTTCAGGTGGTGAAAAAGACAAGACAGCCAAGGCTAAGAAAGAAGTGAAAGAAAAAGAGACAAAAGAAGTGAAAGAAGTCATAAAGGAACCCAAAGAAATCAAGGATAAAGCTCCTCCCCCTCCCCCTAAAATCAAGTCGCCTAAAGTGTCTCCTCCCCCAAAGTCACCCAAGAAATCTCCAGTCACCAAGTCACCCACTCCGCCTCCTCGTGCCAGGCCCACGCGACGATCAGTTTCGAAATCCGTGTCGAAGTCACCCAGCCCCGTGAAACGTGCACCTCGCGCGCGTTCGTCGTCCTCGTCAGGCTCCTCGCGCTCGCCAAGGAGACGTAAAAGAAGCCCAACTCCCAAACCCACTAAGCTGTACGTTGCGCATCTCACACGCAACGTCACTAAGGATCATGTGTTCGAGATATTTAGCGTGTACGGTCACGTGAAGTCAGTAGACTTGCCTATGGACCGGTTTAATTTTCTTCCTCGGGGATTTGCGTACGTGGAGTATGACGAGGCTGAGGATGCGGAAAGCGCTTTGAAGCACATGGACGGAGGACAGATTGATGGACAGGAGATCACAACTCAGATGGTACACCCCATGAGGCCTCGCGACGTTAGACCTGCTCGCCGTCCCAGTCCACCTCCCCCACGGCGCCGTCCTCCGCCGCCAGCGTGGAGAAGATCCCCGCCCGCCAGATTCCGTGGTCCTTTCAGGGCGGGAAGACGATCGCGTTCACCATCACCACGACGCCGTTCTCGTTCGAAATCACGAAGTAGAAGTCGATCTCCGCCGAGACGACGAAGATACAGCCGATCAAGTTCGAGCTCCTCTCGATAAGCTTGCACTTGGTTCCAGTGAACTTTGTGCGTAAGGAAAGAAAGCTCTGTTCAAGGACAACATAATCGAAAAATAACTGCGTGTTTGCAGTCTGATAGTCATAGTAGCTCAAGTTGCATCGGTGAAAGAAGAGAACATTTCAGTGAAGGAAACAGTTTTCGATTCAAAAGTCCTAAAACGACAGTTTCTTTCCGTTAGTCTGGTACAATTTTGGAAACAAAGACAAACAGAACGTTTCACTAACAGAAATTTACTGGGACACTTGAAGAGGTTATATTCATGTGAAAATGAGTCAAACTTACAGATCTGTTTCAAGATTGTATGGCTGTATTACTTTTAAATTGTTTGATAGATGCTTCATCATTTTTACTTCAAGAGACAGTTGCTAAGTTTGTACATTCTTGCTTTTGAATTAAAAGCAGTTTGTACTTTTTATTACCTGGCTGTGATGCTGCGCTTTTTGTTGCCTTTTTTTTGTTGTTATTGGTACGTTTTTTCCCTTTTTTTCTTATTATTTTAATTTATTTAGTTTTTGTTTTGTTTTTTTGCCAGTACTGGTTTTCTGTTATTATTTCTGTGGGTTAAACTTCAACAGTCTTCCTGTTGATTTGCTTTAAAATTCCACTGATAAGAGACAAAAACTGAAATGCGGGCCTCTATTAAGATCTGGTTTATGCTTTGAGTGCGTCTATCGAAGGCTGTTCGTGTGAGTAAAGAAAGTACTTTAGAAGCTGGAACTGTGCTTTAGGTGAAGGAAACATCCATAAAGCCCTGGCGAAACGGACTCGCAAGAAGTCGCAAGTAGCCGCAAGTTGAATTTGCGTAGAGACTTGCGTTGGGTGGCCAAACGGACTCTCAAGATTCCTCGCTAGTTAGCCTACGTCTAGCCGTAGTAGGCCACGCGCTAGTACACGCAAGTCGCAAAAAAAAGAACACATTTCAAGGCAGACATATCCTGTATTTCATTGGCTAATACCGTGTAATGGATTAATGGGTGGCCAAACGGTGAAAAACTTGCGTCGACTTGGGTGAAAATTTGATCTTGACCAAAGTGAGCGCAAGTCATTGCAAGTCAACGCAAATGCACGCCAGGTCTGGCCAAACGAAGTCGCACGTGGACATAAGTTTTCAACTTGCGTCTATTTGCTTGTCCGTTTGGCCAGGGCTTAACTCGACAGACTCCACCAAAAGTATGAAACAATTCTTTTGCATCATCGCGGCAGGGATCGGGGAAAGCTTTGGTTAATGGTTAAAAGACTCGGCGATTATTTGTTGCATTGGAGTGAATTATTGAGGTGTATCGACCGAGTTACGGATGATCGCTCACGCTGCCGGGTCAAAATGAGTATATAACGCGAATTTATTGATAATTATAATTACCGCCAAGCCCCGCTCATAAGATATAAAATTCTTTGTATTTTCAGCCCTTTTCGGTCGCAGAAGAAAATTAAAAGGAATTTATGAAAGGCAAATATTGAAAAAACTATATCCAAAAAAAAAATTTTATGGATGGACTCACCTGAAACATTTTATTTCAGGTGAGTCCATCGTAGTTGTCGTATTTCTTTTGGGCTGAGTTGTTCAAATGGTCGATAAAACTATTTGCCATGTTCACCGGCCAAATCACTATGAAGTATTCTTGGCTCCCAATTTTTAGCCCTTGAATAATAAGTTATTCAGCAGAATGCGTCATCCATCCATTGAACAACTACTAGCAGCTATTAGTTTCACTCAGAGTGATCTAAGTCTATTTTCTTTCTTACACCTGGATATCGATTCATTACGAGGTATACAGATTCTAGAAATTGCTATGTTAATTTTTGTTGAAAAACTTGTAGACCGATGTTGCTCGCCAAAATGGCCAGAGCGGTCAGCGGTTTAAATGAAACTAGAGTGGAACCTGGGAAGAAGATACCAGGACGCCAAGACGCCTGGCAAAGTTTGACTTTACGTTGATCATGTCGCTGAAGACAGTTACTGTGTTTTGTGGTTCTAGCTCAGGAAATGATCCGAGGTTTGAGGAAAGCGCTAGAGGTAAAGTTGTTTCGAGTAACATAATGTAACTTTACTATATATTTCTGAGATTTTTTATGGGGATGTCGTCGTAGTCTTGCAGTCCTGAAACTCTGTGAAACTTGAATTTGTTCAGATTTGTTGAACTACCGAAGAACATATTAGGCTGGCTGAAGTTGTAGTGTTGAAAACCCACTAACCTAGACACAATCTTTGAAACATCTACCTTCCCAACCACAAGAAATTGAAACAAAGTAGAGCATCTAGGTTTTCTCCCGCCGTCTATCAACGAAAGATGAACAGAATACACAAGCAATCTGTAAAGTGCTTGAGTTCAAAATACCCGGCAACTGGCCGCCTACATAAGCTTACATGCAACGTTTACGAACAAAGTTTTTTTACTCTCGAATATACAGAGTTGCATTTCTGCTAATTTCTTAGGGCTACCGAAATTGCAAATTAATAACTAATAAAAGAAAAATTAGGGACTACAAATTTATGCATTATTGTAGGACAAAATTAATCTTTTGACTACAGAATGTGCTACAAAAGGTGTTTAAAAAAAGACAATTGAAAAGAAAACAGGAAGAATCATATTTTCTTCCTAAGAAAGATGCAATTGGGAACAACAGAAAATACTGCCCACTGTCCAAGGGCAGATTTAGGAGGGGGGTACTCACAGTATACATGACGGGGAGCGGGGGAGTCCAACATATTTTTGGGGGTTGAAAATTTACACCCTCGGTATTTTTTGGGGTCAAGAGATCTGTGGCGTATTTTGTTAGCTCTTAAAAAAATGTGTAGTTTTTGGGTATACACATCTCCGAGTGAAATTTTTGTTATGATCAGACAAGAGAGGATAAAGAGACATTAATGGACATACCAGTTTCATTAGATCATGTATTAGAAGAGTCTGTTTGATTGAATAAATCAGTATTGACGTATTTAATTCTTGCATTGTTTTGGTTAAGACAGTTTGATGCTGGGTATTTTTTTGGGGGGTGTAAAATTTCAGGCTCATATATTTTTCTGGGTTCACAATATGAAGCTCCATCAGACCCGTCATCATGTATACTGTGAGTACCTCCTGGGGCGTGGATTGGGTAGCCAGCACCGTCTTTTAGAGAAGCAGAAAAAAAAGAAAACAATTGTGAATATTTTAGCAGAAATAAAGGCAAACACTCTGGGCAGGCACCTCATTGTAATTTCTAGTTTGTGGTATTGCTAGTATTTTTGGTGTAACAGTTTTCAGGTAGGTTCCAAATCCCAAATTACACTGTTTTGGGAGGATGCCCCATTGAGTCTGTAACCCCAAAGTACCAGCCACCCACCCCCCTTGAAAAATCCTGGATCAACTCTTGACTGTCTAACAAAAATATACAAAAAGGTTGCTAAGTAATATTAAAAAAATCAGCCGAAAACTAGACAACAATATTGTGTTTTTCAATATTAACCATTGGTAGAGTTAAGTCTTTTAAAACGCAAAATGTATTCAAAGACAAGCTGTTTTGTTCTAAACAACACACTTGTTCATATTTTGTTGGTTGTTAACATAGTTTAACATCATTTGCAGCTCTAGGTCAATGCCTGGTGAAAAACAAGATTAACCTGATATATGGCGGAGGATCAGTTGGACTCATGGGAACTGTAGCTAAGACTGTAGCTGATGGTGGTTGTGATGTTACTGGATTTCTCCCTGAGTTCTTTGTTACGAGAAGTAAGCCAAGCAAAAATGATAGTTTCAACCTATAAAATTCAGCCTTAAGCTTTAAAAATTAAATGTCTTGACTAATAATTTGAGAATTTGTTACTACTGACTATATTGTGTATATAAATAGACTGTGAAGTGCAAAACAAGATCTTTTTTGGTTAATTTTTTTTTTCTATTTGGCAATGTGTCTACAAAGTTGATTACCGTAATGTTATTATACATGTATATTTATTACATATACATTTATATACATACATGTAATAATTCAGGAGGTATTAAATAACAATAATAAGTCTTTACAAGCCTAGTCACAGGACCACAACTTCCAGACGTTAAGAACAAATAACTCTTACTACTTGTTTCTGAAGAGTAAGAATTTTATTTACCTCGTGTGCTATATTCAATAACTGAGTTTAAAATATAGCTTTGTTGTTGTTGTTGTAGTTGTTAAAACTCAAATAAGTCTTTAAAGTATAATGTCTGATGTTGCCATAACCATGATAATTCCAGAGCTATCCTAGCTAGCCTGCATAGCAAGCATTCCTATACAAGTGAGGGGTTTGTTGCCATGCAACAAACATACAAACATACTAGTTGCCATGCTGCTGTCATGCAAAAATTGAATGCAGGAAAAGTTCTTAGGTTTGTATGAGAACTTTTACTAGTCCACTGAAATCTGAACTGAACTAGTGGGAGCACTTTATACGCAGGCTAGAGCTAGCTTAAACAGGCCAACATGAGCATTATTCAGGCTTTAAACCTGGGCATTACTTAGACTAACCAGAGTACTATTGAGATAACCAGATTGCTCAAGGCTGATTACTAATTGAGTGTGCCATTTAGGGTAATGGAATCACTTTTATATTCAGGCTAACTAGAATACAATGAATTTTGTTCCTTAAAGTGACTCATTCACTCATGATTTAATTATTTGACTCAAAATTCCAAAAATAATGGAAGCTTTTCTATAACTTGGATGCTAGATAAAAATCTAGTCTCAAAAAATAAAAATAATAAAAATCGGGTAGTTTAGATAGGGTTACAGAAAATCGGTTTTTGTAACTTGTTTTACTATTTTAGATTCTGAACACTTGAAGGGCATTGGTAAGACAGTGCTGGTTGAAGATATGCATACTAGAAAAAGAAATATGCTAGAACAGGTAACATCAAGGTTATTGATGTATAGTGGCTATTGATACTGAGAAGAATTTTATTAATTTATCAATCTATCCTCTTTCCATCAATTTTGTATGTGAACATCTCTGTTCATAAGTACTTATAGGTAATATGTTGACTGCGCAAACCCAAAAAGTATTTTATACATCTCATTGGGTTTTTTAATACCGTAAACACTGGTGAATAAACCATACCTTTTTACTCAAAATTTTTGTAACAAAATGGGGATGAGGCTTTTCTGCCTTTAAGTTGCATAAATTAACACTTTTCATCAAAAATTATAAGTCTGTATAACATTTACTAATAAGAACTTCATAACACTATACCAGAGTACACAAAAATTGTGGCTTAAATTGCAAGTTTGGTAGCCTATGCGGGTTTACATTCAACAAATGTAAGCTTCTATACATGTAGAACATCTTTCTTAAGACTCCACTTTTGATTTATTTTGGTATCTCTCCAAAAACTTTTTTCCAAAATTTGAGCTCCAAACTTGGGGGTTCGGCTTATTTACCAGTGCGGCTTATCCACCAGTGTTTACAGTACCATATTTTGCTTACTTTTCAACTTTTTACTCACCTCTGTAGGATTTGGAAACATACAGCAACTCATAAGATATCTGCACATGTGTTGTCAGTGGTAAAATATTTATTATGGGTTTAAATTTTTTCAAACCAGTTTGATTTCTAGTTCCCTTTGTTTCAAATTATACAATGACTATCACAAGCCATTGAAAAATAAAAGTCAACTTGGTTTGAAACAAAGATAAATCTAAATGTTACCACAACATATTTTATAATAATTATATTTAATGTCTCTTACTAAAATGTTTGGTAGAAATTTGTCAAATTAATAGTATTTTTTGATAAATAATTTATTGTTGTATAATGAAACTATTGAATATAATTAAAATTTAACTTCATTTCTAGGCTGATGCACTGATAGCTTTGCCAGGAGGTTATGGTACCATTGAAGAACTTCTTGAAATGATCACATGGTGAGAATATACATGTACCCCGGTATGATATTCAACTGCCGCCTGGTTAGCTCAGTTGGTAGAGCACCAGACTGCTGTATGGGAGGTCGAGGGTTCAAGCCCCAGACCGGACCAACACTCGGGGTCTACCTTTGTGCTACCTTGGTAAATACAGCTGCAAATGGTTGGACATTCAAGTCTTCCCAGATAAGGACTATAAACCATAGGCCCTGCAGTCTCCTGCATTTTCAGTGTTACATAGTTAGCAGGGGACATGAGAGAACCCACAAACTCATTACAAAGAGTAGGGCACGGAGTTCCCGGTGTTGT